ATAGGTGAAGAAGATGAAGGAATTTAAGAAGTACAAATTGGTTGTTAGACTGATAAACCTCAAAGGGAAGGGGGGAGGGGGAGGGGGAAGAGATTAACCAAAGAACTTCTTTGCATATATGCATAACAAATGGACACAAACAATAGTGTGGGAAAGGCAGGAGGGGGGGCGGGATTGGGGAAGAGGGGGTCAATGGGGAAAAAGGGGGGGACATTTCTAATACACTCAACGATAAAGATAACTTTAAAAAGAAAAACAGAAACAAAAATAAATAAATAAATAAATAAATAGAAATAAAAGAGCTCTGGCCAGTTTGGTTCAGTGGTTAGAGTGTAAGCCCACAGACCAATGAGTCATGGGTTCAATTCTGGTCAAGGGCACATACCATGGTTGCGGTTCATCCCTGGACCTGGTAAGGTTATGCAGGTGGTAACCAGTCAATGTGTCTCTATCACATCCATGTTTATCTCTGTCTCTCTCTCTCTCTCTCTCTCCCTTCCTCCCATTCTATTTAATGATAAATGGATATATATCCTCAAGTGAAGAATTAAAAAAGAAAAGAAAAATAAATAAATAAATATATAAATAAATAAATAAATAAATAAATAAATAAATAAATAAATAAATTCATATGAGGGGCTTCACCATGTAAATAATAAAGTGAGAACTGAATGATGAGAAGTTGACAAGCAAGCAAAGCAAATAGGGCAGCTAGTGCAAGGTCATAAAATGAATTATACCACTGGTCTGATAAAAGAATACTAAGGCATTACAGGATAGCCAGCCTGCCTTCCCTTAGTTCCCTTATGCTTTCTATTTTATGAATACAAAGAGAGACAATATACATACTCACTGAGTGGAAGAGTGATAGAAGAAAGGATTGGGTGGTGGGTAGGGGAAGAGAGATATATGGCTTTGTCAACCAGTGTAAGAAATCTGAGTTTTATCTTAAGTTCAACAGAAAGCCACTGGAGGCTTATAAGAAAATAATAATAATAATAATAATAATAATAAAGAGAAGAGAGGAAAAAGAACATTACATACTAAATTTTAAAACTTCTCTTTGGTTGACAGAAATATATATATATATATATATATATATATATATATATATATATATTATGGAAGAGAAAGAGTTGACCACTAGCAACTGTTGGGTAATCCAGACAAGAGGTATTCTTTTCTGGACTTAGAAGATAATAAAAATAGAAAGAGTAGAAGGATTGAGGATACATTTGAAGAGAGTCAACAGAAGTTGCTATTATACTGGAATAGAGGAAAAGGAAAGGGAAGAAATGAAGGCTAATGCCTATATATTGAACCTAAGTAATGGTAGTGATAACTAAAATGAGAAATTGAGTAAAGAGGAAAAAGTTAGTCACAGAGATTGAGTAGGTAGAACCAAATATCCTGCTTTGGACTAAATGTGGTGTCCATTGATATTCAAGTGGAGATGTCAGGTAGCAATGAGAAATATGAGTTTGGAGTTAATGGCAAAGAGGATCTGTGGAGTTAGCTGTCAGTATATAGAAGTCATTTAGGCCACGGGCCTTGGGAAAGGAGTATAGCTAAGGAAGAGGAAAGAGTCTGATACTGAGACCTAAGAGTACCTAAAATCTAGAGGTTGAGCACAGGAGTTGCAAGCCTGTAGGAATGAGAGTAACAATTAATGAGATAGAATAAAGAGAACAATCAATAAGATAGAGTGACCATCAAAAGGCAAAGAGAGAGGAGAGAGAGAGAGAGAGAGAGAGAGAGAGAGAGAGAGAGAGAGAGAAGTCAACCTGCTAAATGCTGCTGAAAGGTAAAAAATAATGGAGATAAAAATGTTTGTTGTATTTTATTTTCTTACTGATTCTGAGGAATGATGGAGCCTAAAACATAAATAGATGTGTTCAGAATAGTGTGAGACACAAAAGGGTGGATATAGCAAGTGATTAATGACCAAACTTTTGAAAACGTGGCTGTGGAGCAGAGAAAAGATGGATGAGGGAGTAGCTCGGGAGAGAAGTGAGGTTGAAAAAGAAAGTTGTTCGTTTGGGTATTTTTCAAGATGTGAGACACTTAAGGCTACACAAAGATATAGGGAGAAGTTGATGGTGCTGAGAAAGAGGGCATAACTGAAGAAATGAAGACTTTGATGAGGTGAGTATTATTAGAATCTATTCCTTGAGAAGAAGAGCTGGCCTAGGATAAAGACTGAGGTCACTGATCTTGGAGCCAAGTAGAGAGCCTGTGCACAGACCACAAGTCAATAGATCTGTTGAAAGAAGATGAGGAGAAGTTTCTGTTCTAATTTCTTAGTGAGGTAAGACACAAGATTATGATTTTCAAAACTGATAGTAGAAATCAGATTTTGACAGTGTGAGAACAGATCACCTGTGAAAAATAATTTTAAAGATAGAGCAAGAGCACATACTACAGAAGTACAGTAGAACTTAGGGGCAGTGTGGAATGCCCATAGAGATTGTGTCCATGAATTCAAAAATAGACTAACAACAGACTGTGTGTTCTTTTCATGCCTTTTTATTGGTCTAGTATAGGCAAGGGGTAGTTAGGTAGTTGAATGTACCCATCCTCATATGTGCCAGTTAAGACTGAAACAGAAGAGGCAAGGGAGTTCAGTGTAGTTAAAGGAAAGTAATTATAATGTTGGATCGTATTATCTAATCTGGCTAAGAAAAAGTGTGAAGACATGAGGAAAGTAAGAAAAGGCGATAGGGGAAAAATTGGGAATCTCCATGAGGGTAAGAAATTACAGGAAAAGGGTCATCAGTTTGTGAGCCACAGGATAAAAACCAACAATCAAAGAATGGAATGAGGAAATCAAGATTTTAAGGTGCACAGTTACTGGTAGTCAATCACGTATGCATAGCCAGAGGTGGGATAGAAGAAAGGTGCTTAGAAAACAGGAACTTAAATGAACTAAGAGGCCAGCATTGTTTTAGTTGCATTTGAGTATGTTGAAGTAATTACCAATGGTTCCAGGAGTAAGACATAGATGAAGAACCTGATAAGCCTGGTGCTGCTGTCTTCAGTGGATGAGGAAGAGCCACCAGAAGGTGGGATGATGACAGCAAAAAAGAGAAGTAGCAGATGGTACTGAATCATGGTATAAATTTCAAAGTAACTGGACATTGATAAGAAACACAAAAGAGGAATTGTTGAACATGACAACTGAGCAAGGAGCATACTTAAAGATATCCGGTGAGGATAAAAAAAAAAAGTAAAGGCAGGCCCGGCCGGTGTGGTTCAGTGGTTGAGTGTTGACCCATGTACCAATAGTTCAACTCTCATCCCAGAGGAAAGTGTGTTGAAAGGGAAACACATCCAACTGATAGGGAAATCAATGTTGTCAGAGAAAAGTCAGGTTTTGATCTGAACATAAAAGTAAAGGCAGGCCCTGGCCAGTTTTGCTCAGTGGTTAGAACATCGGCCTGCAATCCAGCGAGACCCGGGTTCGGTTCCCGCTAAGGGCGTGTACCTCGGTTGCAGTTTGTCGCTGGCCCTGGTTGGTCGTGCGGGTGGCAGCCACTTGATGTGTCTCTTTTACGTCAATGTTTCTCTCTCTCTCTCTCTTCCTTTCTCTCCCTCCCACTCTCTCTGAACAAAAGGTGGAAAAATGTCCTCCCGTGAGGATAAAAAAAAAAGTAAAGGCAGGCCCGGCCGGTGTGGTTCAGTGGTTGAGTGTTGACCCATGTACCAATAGGTCACCGGTTTAATTTCCAGTCAGGGTACATGCCCAGGTTGTGGGCCCAATCCCCAGTGTGGGGCATGCAGGAGGCGCCCAATCAATGTTCTCTCTCATCGATGTTTCCATCTCTCTCTCCCTCTTCCCTTCCTCTCTCTCTAAATATCAATAAAGAAAAAACTTTTTAAGGGAAGGCAGTATTGAGGGTAGAGGAGAATTTGCAGATAATGGGCTCCAAATTCCAGCAGGCTCTGTAGAAGACTGGGAGAATGAAAGTAGGCAGCAGAGAATAAAGGAGAAAGGCCCAGAGGATGAAGGATCAGTCAAGAAGACCAATACACTGAGAGCCTCTTAGAAGAGACGAATTCAAGCAGAAAGCTCTGGGGACCTGAAGTCACTGATCTCCCAGCTGTTCTCCATGATGTGACCGCCAAGAAGTAAAACAAATTTCTCTTTAACCGAATTATTTCCTTGGGTCCTGTCTAATAGAGAACTTTGCTCTGCTTACCATTCCAGGCTAATCCTGTATCCCTCTCCTTTACCCTCTTTCTGCTCTGGCCATGATGGAATTTTCTTGGTACTTCAAATATACCATGTCTCCTCCCAACTCAGTATTTACAATGACCAAAATGATCTTTCCACATTCTTCCTTTAAGAAACTCTTACTCATTCATCAGTTCTACAACTAAATATAATCTCTTTTCTTGCCCCAATTACACACTTCCAAGCACATTCTCATTCTTCATGACACTTGAAATTTCTGCCTCATAAGAGTTTTCAGTACTGGATTGTAAGTTCTATGACAACAATGACTATATTTTCTTCACTTCTCTGTCCTCTTACCTACAGTATAAATTTGTACCTACAGGCACTCAATTACTATCAATCAACAAACTTGAAAAGTAGTCTAAGTGGTATAGATGCATTTCAGAGTAAAATACAATGAGTTTAAAAGACAGAGCAATCAAGACTGATTCTCTGCTCTGCCCTTACTTACTTCAAGGTGCTGGGCATATGTTTTAACTACTTAAAAATTTTTAACAATTCCTTAGAAAGTGTATCAGAGTGTTATTCATGCTCCCCACATGGTTTTTTTTCCAATCTCTCCTATATTTTTTACATAAATTGCTATAAACACAAGTATTCTTATTTTTTCTTTTGAAACTAAATTTCAATGTGTGGATTAAATTATCTTCATCCAACTTCATCTGTAGACTCATCTTAAAGTCATCCCTTACACTTGAAAATATAAGGTCTCACTTAACCCTACAGGGGTGGCACAGACACATAGAAACAGATAGTAATTCACCTGCACACGTGATATAAGCTTCATCTCTTGGATGGCATGACCTGTATTTCCAAGGGTCAGAAGGACACTGCCAAAGAGACATATCAGTTTTCCGACACTGGATTCCATCTACCCACTGGGGTCTAGAACCTTCCCTAAAATCAACAGAAGAGTTAAGGGTCCCACTGTCCCCACATCCAAGCTGTCTGCAGATCATGGACAAGGTCATGGCTTCCATGGGGCTGCGGCAGACGCTGCCCCAGGTCCCGTTATAGAAAACTTCCAGCCATCCAGCACACTCCTGGTCCTCGCTCACCATCCTGAGGGCCAGGAACTCTAAATGAAAGAAGGGAAAACGGCACAGTGAGCATTTCACTCAACGCTCTGTGTTTTCTCTCTCCCAGAGCTTGTGAACACTCATCGCTGACTCTGCCGAGGAGACACCCACTAAGTGGCAAGACAGCAATGTGTCCCTTTTCCCTGACTTTGTCCATTTGTGTCTGTCTATCTCTACCTCAATGATGTAGTGGAATATGAATAGAGAGGAACATCAACCTGGACCCCCTGCAGGGAGGGAGAGCTGAATGCTGCTTCCTGACAAAACTTCTGATAGAGTATGTGAAAGGGAGTGGGAGAGTGGGTGGTAAGGCAGGATAATGGACCCCCAAAGATGTCTACATACTACCTCCTGGAACCTGTGAAATGTTACCTTTCATGGTGAAATGGACTTTACAGATGTTACTGAGATAATGAGCTTGGAATGGTGAGATTAACCTGGAATATTGTGGATTAACCTGGTGAGCTCAGTCTAATCACATCCTTAGATCCACTCTCCCTAAATATAAAATACATTTCCTGGCTTTGGTTAGAGGGAGATGCAACTATGAAATGATGGTTAGGGATATGAAACATTGCTGGTCTGAGGATGAAGGAAGGGGCTATAAACCAAGGAATGTATGCAAGTTTCTAGAGTTTGAAAAGACAAAAGGTAAATTCTTCCCCACAGTCAAAATGAATGCAGTCCTGCTGACACCTTGATTTCAGTCCAGTGAGATCCATGTTGGACATCTAACTTACAGAACTGTAGGGTAATAAATACCAGCTGATTTTAATCACTAATTATGTGATAATTTGTTACAGCAACAACTGGAAAATAGTACAGTGGGTCTGCCCTGGCCGGTTTGGCTCAGCGGTTAGAGCGTCGGCCTGCGGTCTGGAGAGACCCGGGTTCGGTTCCCGCTAAGGGCATGTACCTCGGTTGCAGTTTGTCCCCGGCCCTGGTTGGTCGTGCGGGTGGCAGCCACTCGATGTGTCCCTTTCACGTCGATGTTTCTCTCTCTCTGTTCCTCTCTCTCCCTCCCACTCTACCTGAACAAAAAATGGAAAAATGTCCTCGGGTGAGGATAAAAAAAAAAAAAAATAGTACAGTGGGTCTAAAGGTTTTACCATCAGAGGTAACTGAAGAGCGAGCCCTGCTTTCAATGGAAACTCTGTAGGAAACGACTTTGTCAGGAGAAATTGCTGAGAAGGAAGGACCAGAGCCTCAGCTGCTGCAGGAGGAAAAGAAAGCACCAATCTTCATACCTACTAGAAAGACACAGTGGAAGGAAGCTTCCTTCTCCTCTAGTCCTTTCAGCAACAGCCCCTCAGTCAGGGCTCAGACTCCCATCCTGGAGGGCTCCCACCTCCTCCCCCAGCCTATGGATGATGTGCAGTGCAGACCTGAGCAGATGACCCCCGCGTCCTCCTTGTGCCAGCAGTCGTTCCGTCCCCAGCCACGGGAAGGGCACTTCCACACGTGGGACTCCTTTCCTGTGCAGTTCACGTCATCCAGCCAGATCTGGCCTGATCCCTCCCCGAAGTGAGCAGAGACCGTGGCATTGAGGGCTTCTCCACAGCCCAGCTGTCTGCACACCACCTGGGCATCGTTCAGGTCCCAGCTGTCATCACAGATGGTGCCCCAGGAGCCCTGGTGGAGGATCTCCACTCTGCCGGCACAGGGACCGTCCCCGTCCACCAGGCGGAGCTGTGCAGTGTCTGAGGAGAGAGAGGCAGGCCAATGGGGCATTTACACAGGGAAAGAGAAGGGCTTTCTGGTCCTGTGGGAACCCTCACCTGAGCAGCTGTCAGCACTCTCCTCTGAGGCTGCAGAGCCTGCTGGTTCAGACATGGAGTCAAACTGGGGCAGCACCTGAGTCTGGTTTCCTACAGAAACAACAGTAGTCAGAGGGTTAGCAGGGTTGAAGAACAGGAAACTGAATTAAACTAAATAATAACCTAGTGATGGGGTCTGAGATGAAAGCTGTAAAATATGAGTAATGTTATCATACTATCAGAGTTCATCTTTGTGGAGAGTTCTGCTTCCAACAATGCCAAAAACCCTTGTTCTTCATTGTGTATTGAGGCAACATTGGATAATAACATTGTATAAATTTCAGGTGTACAACACATGTATACTCTATTAAATGCTCATCACCCGAAAACTAGACTCCTTTTGTCACCAAGTATTTGATCCCCTTTACCCTCATTGCCCTCCCCCATTCCCCTTATCTACTGCTAACCACCATTCTGTTGTCTGTATTTATGAGTTTACTTCTTTGTATTGTTTTATTTATTTGTTGATTTTTGTTTTATATCCCTTGTATGAGTGAAATTGAATGGTTCTTATCTTTTCCATCTGACTTATTTTACCTAGCACAATACTCTCAAGATCTCTCCATGTTGTAACAAGTGGCAATATTTCATCTTTTTTATGGTTCACTAGTATTCTATAGTATATATGTACCATGTCTTCTTTTTTTTTTTTTTTTTTTTTTTTTTTTTTTTTTTTATCCTCACCCGAGGACATTTTTCCATTTTTTGTACAGATAGAGTGGGAGGGAGAGAGAGGAAGGGAGAGAGAGAGAGAAACATCGACGTGAAGGGACACATCGAGTGGCTGCCACCTGCACGACCAACCAGGGCCGGGGACAAACTGCAACCGAAGTACGTGCCCTTAGTGGGAACCGAACCCGGGTCTCTCCGGACCGCAGGCCGACGCTCTAACCGCTGAGCCAAACCGGCTAGGGCTGTACCATGTCTTCTTGACCCAATAATCTATCAAAGGACATTTAGGTGCTTCCAGGTCCTGATATTTGACAAAGAAGCCAAAAACATACAGTGGAGAAAGGGGAGTCTTTTTGATAAATGTTGTTGAGAAAACTAGAAAGCCATATGCAAAAGAATGAAACCAGGCTGCTAATTCACACCATAGAAAAATACTGATTCAAAATGGATTAAATACAAAATGGATTAAGACCTGAAACAATAAAATACATAAAAGAAAACAGTCACTAAACTTATTGACCCTGGTTCCAGAGGGATGTTTATGAACCTGACCCCAAAGGCAAGGGAAGTAAAAGAAAAAAATAAATGAATGGGACTACATCAAACTAAAAAGCTTCTGCACAGCAAAAGAAACCACCAACAAAACAAAAAGGCAACCAACTGACTGGGAGAAGATATTTGCAAATTATACCACTAAAAAGGGACTAATATCCAAAATATATAAAGAACTCATACAAGCCCTGACCAGTTGGCTCAGCGGTTAGCGTGTCGGCCTGCGGTCCAGAGAGACCCAGGTTCGGTTCCCACTAAGGGCATGTACCTCGGTTGCAGTTTGTCTCTGGCACTGGTTGGGTCATGTGGGTGGCAGCCACTCGATGTGACCCTTTCACATCAATGTTTCTCTCTCTCTCTTCCTCTCTCTCCCTCCCACTCTATCTGAACAAAAAAATGGCAGAATGTCCTATGGTGAGGATAAAAAAAAACTCAACAACAACAAAAATTATTAAAATGGTCAGAGAACATTAATATATTATTTTCCAAGGAAAATATACAGATAGCCAACAGATATACCTAAAGATGCTCAACATTATAGTTATAAGAGAAATGCGAATCAAAACTACAATAAGGCCCTGGCCAGTTTGGCTCAGCGGTTAGAGCATCAGCCTGTGGTCCAGAGAGACCCAGGTTCAGTTCCTGCTAAGGGCAGGTACCTCAGTTGCAGTTTGTCCCCGGCCCTGGTTGGGTCTGCTGGAGGCAGCCACTCAATGTTTCCCTTTCACATCGATGTTTCTCCCTCTCTCTCCCTCTCTCTCCCTCCTACTTTATCTGAACAAATAAATGGAAGGAAAAAAATGTCCTCACATGAGGATAAAAAAAAAAAACTACAATAAGATACCACCTTACACCTGTTAGGATGGCTATTATAATAAGACAAAAAATGACAAGTGTTGAAGAAGACATGGAGAAAAGATAACCCTCACACATGCTGGTAGGACTGTAAATTAGTACAGCCACTATGGAGATTCCTCAAAAAAATTAAGAATGGAGCTACAATATGACCCAGTAATCCATCCTCTGGGTATCTACCTGAAAAACTTGAAAACATTTGTAAAGATATATGTACCCCTATGTTCATTGCAACATTATTCACAATATTCAAGACAGGGAAACAAAATTTCTGTTTTAAGCCAAGTGTTGCATAAAAACTAAGTTTAGAAAAGCAGGGCTATGTCAATACTATCTAAAAATACTGTAGAACTACTGCGACAGTGAGAATTTTTGGAGCTAAGCTCACAGAGAAGAGTGAAAAGCAAAGGTGAGTTACTTTCCCTTGAGGCCTTTGTCAATTCAAAGGTTATAGCTGAGACTCTGAAAAGCTCAACAAACATTTTGCCAGACTTACCAGGCGTGAGGAACACAAAGTATAATTCAGGGTCAGACACAGAGGACAGAAACCCTATTAACCAGAACTCTTATACCATACATGGAATACTGAACTAAAAATAGAATGTTCCTCACAGGATGGATACCCAGCTTCAAATCACTTCACTTCCTTTTAAATAAGGTGATCTAACTGCCTTATGACCCAGCAAATACACTTCTGGGTATACCCAAAGAAACTAAAAACACTAGTTCAAAAGAATATATGCACCCTCATGTTCATTACAACATTATTTACAGTAGCCAGGATATGGAAGCAACCCAAGTGCCCATCAATAGATGAGTGGATAAAAGGCTCTGGTACATACAATGAAATACTATTCAGCCATTAAAAAAAAAAATCTTAACATCTGCAACAACATGGATGGACATAGAGGGTATTATGCTAAGTGAAATTAGCCAGACAGAAAAAGACAAATACCATATGCTATCATTTATATGTGGAATTTAAAGAACAAAATAAATAAACAAACAAAATAGAAAAACATTAAGGTAATCCAACCCTAAATCAGGTGCCTGGAGAAAGCAAAATAAAATGCTTTCTAAAGGATTTCTACAGTTTTTCACCTATAATGTCTGTCAATCCAAAATACAGAGACACAAAAAAAAGAGATTTAAGGAAAACCAGAAGAATAAAGGAAGCATTAGAAACAAATTTGGAGGGCATCCAGCTATTGGAATTGCCTGACAGAGAGTTTACAGTACCATAATTGAAATGCTCAAGGAATTAAACAAGATATTATGGCAGAGAAATACTAACAGAATCAAACAAAAATTCTACGGCTAAAAAGTCAATATTTGAAATAAGAACTCAAAGGATAAGTGTAACAGCACACAAGATCAGCACAAGATAGAAATCGTAACATGAGCGACCACAAGAAAATACACAAACTGCCCTGGCCGGTTTGGTTCAGTGGTAGAGTGTCGGCCTGCGGTCCAGAGAGAACCAGGTTCAGTTCCCGCTAAGGGCATATACCTTCTTGGTTGCAGTTTGTCCCCGGCCCTGGTTGGGTCGTGAGGGTGGCAAACACTTGATGTGTCCCTTTCACATCGATGTTTCTCTCTCTCTCCCTCCCCACTTTATCTGAACAAAATATCAAAAAATGTCCTCGGGTGGGGATAAAAAAAAAGAAAATACACAGACTGAAGCACAGGAAGACAAACAATGGAAAATATAACATTCTTATATACTGAGTCCTACTTACAGAAAGCCACAATTGACAAAACTAAAAATAGAAATTTAAAAATCTATAATCACAGTAGGATAGTTAATATATCTATGGTGATTTTTAACATATCCACAAAATCTTTGATACTGCATCATTCAAGAGGTGGGATCTATACCTTCTTCCCTGGAATCTTGGTTGCCCTTCATGAATTGCTTATAAGCAATAGAACACAGTGACGGTAACACTACTTGTCTTTAAACACCTGGTCAGAAAAGTCATGCAGTCTCCCCAAAATTAGCTTAGGACATTTTCTTTAGGGAATGTTCACCTGTTGAGACTACATGCTGGAGAAAATATCATATGCAGGTGCTCTGGTCCGATAACCAGCTGAACTTCCAGCTGCCAGCCATTTTAGTGAACCATCCTGGATTCTCAGCCTAAATGAGTCTTCAGATGACATCAGCCCTGGTAACCTCATGAGAGACCTCCAGAGAACTGCCACACTAAGCCCTTCCTAAATTCCTAGTTCAGGAAATCATGAGCAAAATAAAGTTTTAAACTGCTAAAGTTTGGGGAAAGTTGTTATTTTGCAGCAATAGGAATCAGAATATTTACATTTACCAAGTTACTAAGTGTTTACTAAAGACAACTGAAAATGTTTGTCTTCAGAAGAACATGTACATGCATATTCATAGCATCCTTATCTGTAATAGTTCAAAACTGGGATGCTATCTAAAACATGCGACATGGCTTTTGGGACAAAATAACAGGCAGAACTTGGAAGGGCTCAAAGGTACTATTAGCAAAAACCTGAGGCTTGGACAATGCTATCAATGAACACATAACAGAAGTAAGAAAATTGTAATTGGAAGCTGGAGAAAAAATAAAATAATCAGTGTTGTGTAAAATAAAATGGTTGCTTTATGTCTAGATTGTGAAGTAATTTGTTATGCAGCAATAGCAGCCAGAAAACACTTTCTATCAGTCTCAGTAACTGATAGATCAAACTAGCAAAACTACTCAGTAAATACTTAGAATATTTGAATGGTGTAACTTAACAAATATGCACCTCAAAACTACAGAATACATAACTCCAAAGGCATACAGGTCATTTACCAAAACAATTGTATGTTATGTAAAGTGTGATATCAAAAACTTTTTCAAAGGACTAAAATTACTAAAAGTCTTTTTGACCAAATATAATTAAACTAAAAACAAACAAAAGACAAGCAATAAAATCAAATATACTGATGTATAATTTTCACACAA